TTAATTACCGGCTCGCCGGGAGGAACCCCTCCTGACGGGGCTGGTGTGTAGACCAGCTCGTCGGAAGGGATTCCTTCCAACGAGCGGGTTTAAGTACCGGCTTGCCTGGAGGAACCCCTCCCAACGAGCTGGTGAACAGAGGCTCTGGCTGGGAGGGGTTCCTCCCAGCCTCAAGCAGTTATTGTCGTTTTTTTTCTTGAAAAAAAAAAAAATTAAACTCTGGGCTATCCCCTAGGACCCAGGCCTGGGTCCTATGGGATAGCCCGGTCCTAAACCCATATACATATGGGTTTAGGACCCAGTTTGGCGTGCAGGCCTGCACGCCAACTGCACGCCAATCTACCCTGCAGCAGATTGGTGTGCAGGCGTGCATGCCAATCTGCGCTTGGCCTGCAGATTGGCGTGCAGGCGCGCATGCCAATCTGCGCTTGGCCTGCAGATTGGCGTGCAGGCGCGCATGCCAATCTGCGCTTGGCGTGCACCATGGGGGTTGGCTTGCAATTATCAACCCCCCTTGCCCAAGTCTCATTATTTTAAGTGGGTGGTTTGAGGTTGTGTAATCCAAACAAACTGGATATAAACATCTGGGAGGTGACTGTACATCACTTACATAGTTTGGTGCACAGACAAAGGATTATATGTCTGTGGTCTGTTTTCTCCCACGTGTCTCAGAGCAAAAGGATGCTTAAAACAGAAGATTTGGGGTTCAGCAAGGACTGGAACAAGGTGAAAGTCTGGATACTGAGTTTCAACCCCATCTGAATGTAACAACATGGCAAAAAATCACCATCCTCATCAGCACCGTGTCTTGGCTCAGGATGCAGAGAGATTTACGGCAGAATTGCACAATTTCCTGAAGAAAAGTAAATGCCAGAAATACAAGATACTCATTAGCAAACACTCAGACACTATGTACCTCTAGAGGCTACTACTTTATTTGAAGTTTGTACCCACATCAAGGAGATGTGTCAGATTATATATAAGACTGATTTTCTTCAGTTTGAATTTTCTCATTATTTGAAATTCTCTCATCATTGTTGAGATCTTCCCATATATATTGATTACTTTAAAATAGACTCCAATTTCTTTTCTTTTGTGTCATCGACAATCCTTATAGTTTTCTCTCTATCATCATCCGCTAGTGAAAAGGGACACCAAGTAAAGCTATCCTTTGCCATGCTATTAACCAATATCTTAGTTTCCCTACAAATCTTGCATTACTATGGTAGCTCAGCACAACCAATCTCACCTTCAAGTCAGCTGGTAAAGAGAGCTGAATTCTCCGGAGAGCTTGCATTCCAAAATTCTAATAAAGAGAAAGTGGCAACTGAACACTTACCTGGTGTGTCAACTCCATTGTGTGGATTTCAGATAGATCAAGAATTGTTTGCTTGCATTCTGGAATTGGGTGTTGATAATGCCCATTTTTTAAAAAAAAAATTGGCTTGGAATGTTGAGCAGTGCCATCAAGTCCCAGTGAATTGACTGATGTGAATGAATCATTGGCTATCACTGGTTCTAGTGGTGAGTAGCATGATGTTGGATCTATTTTCTGTGGTGATCAAACAAAATGTGCATAGACTGAATCTTCATCAACCCTGAAATCATGAAATTAACAAGTAGTGATGAAAAACAGGAATTATTATTGAAACTAGAACCAGAACTGAAATCAAATACAAGTTAGATAAAATACTTAAGAACAAGTTTTATTTGAGAAGAGACAAGAAGAAAGCATACCACGAGAAGAAGTAATCTTTGAGGGAAGCAGAACAGAAAGGCTTAGATAGATGAGATCAAACAGGGACAAATAATAGGAGCTAAAAACATAGTCAAAGAAACAAAATGTGCAAAGATGAGTCAATTTCCAGAACACATAGCCGAGAATTCTTGATGAAGCTTTTTGGTTAATCTTTTCTCACCAAATTGGCAAAAGCCAGGAAAGAATGTTGAGTGAGAGAGTCGGAGCGATGAGAAGGGATGAAGATCGAACAGCGTAGAGATCGAGATGACGTCGAGCACGGTATGATTGTTCGATGAGGGAAAATAGTGAGAGAGTGTAGAGAAATAGAGAAGAGAGAAGGCGAATGCGGAAGGGAAGATTGATGACGAGTTTGTGTGGAGGAATGATGGTTGGTGTTGAGGAGAAGGTGAAGCTGAGCAGTTGAAAGTTGAGTCGAACAAGAGTCGATGAGGAGAGATGAGTCGTTATTGATGGGGAGACTGCTGAGGATGAGTGTGAGGTGGTGAGAGAGAGGGGTTTTTATAGCCGTCGATGTCGGTTTGACTTGTGGTTCGAGATTTCTTTGAGATGGTTGAGTTGTGGTTGTTACTGGTGACTTGACGACTGGTTGACGGCATGTTTGAGAAGAAGTGGGAAGTGTTGAGAAGAGGAATGATAAATGATAAGGAGACGAGCGGAGAGAGAGAAGTGAGAGCGGAGAAGAGCGGAGATGAGGAGCGGAGGGAGCGGGGGAGAGGAGCGGAGGAAGCGGAGTGAACGGATGAGAATAAAGTGTTGAATAATGAGAAGAACCGGTGATGCAGACAAGAATTCTATCAGAATTCCAACAAGTAGCAAAACAAATGCTTGAGAAAACTGAAAGAACCAACCATACCAAAAATCTGCAAGCTCTCACAGCTTTGGTGGATACTTTAAATAAAAATTGGGTCAAATTGAACAAGTATGTGGAGAAAAAAGAAGATAGTTTCAAAGAAAAGTCAGATGATGAAATCCACTATATTAATGAAACTGAATTCTTCTTGGAAGCTCTAACCAAATTACAAAAGAGAATGTTATGGC